CCACTCCCCCTGCTTGTGTTCCCTCTCTCACTGTGTCTCTCTTTGTCAGATAAATAAATAAAATCTTAAAAAAAAAAAAAAAAAAGCAGGGCCTTTGTAAAGAGAGTGCCTTCATGCTTTCAAAAGTTGAAAACTTGAGCATTTTATGATGAAAGCCAAATTCAGGGTAGTGGGAGGAGAAGGGGAATGTAACCAGGGAAACTTTAAATGTATTGCGATCGTGCTTTCTTTCTTCGCGTTGGTGGTGGGTGCACAATTCTGCGGGCTACAGCTGGCTCAAACCAGCTCATGAGAGCCAGTTGTTAAAATTTCAGGGATTTTTTCCAAGCCAGTTGTTAAATACAACCATTACAAAAAATATATATAAACTCACAATTAAGTAAATGATATTAAAAACAAAGGTAACAATTACTCAGAACTCATCACCTCCTGATTATTTTTCTATTATCTATGCTCTTGAGGTTCAGTCTATCGTATCTGTAATGTGGAAATGCTGTCAATAGTATACAACCAGGGACGATGCCTGGGTGGCTCAGTCGGTTAAGCATTTGCCTTCAGCTCAGGTCATGATCTCAGGGTCCTGGGATGGAGTCCCACATCAGGCTCCTTGCTCAGCAGGGAGTCTGCTTCTCCCTCTGCCTGCTTCTCCCCTGCTTGTGCTCACTCCCTCTCTCTCTCTCACTCTCTCTCTGACAAATAATAAATAAAATCTTTAAAAAATAGTATCCAACCAATGCATCTCTTCTCAACCTCTTGTGGGTAGCTGGACATCAGCCACGGTGAGAGTATTTACGTCATGGAAATTAGCAAATACTACAAATCAGGTTTGGGTTTCTGTTTGTTTCTCTTGCTTTCTGGGGAGCCCCTTGTGAACCATTTGCCAGCATATCATTTGGTACAGAAGTGTTCTTATATGTCAGGATGCTGGGGCTTCTGGGTTCTACTTAACGTTCCCTGGGACACAATGAACAAACTACTTCCCTCTCTGTTGCTGTTTCCCAACCCCCACCCCACCCCCTTTTCACTCTTCTATACATTCTTGGTAGGTCTGGACTACTTTGTAATATAGACGAAAAGAAAAGAAAGTATTTCACCATTGCCGATTTTTTTAAAACGCCGAACATTCTGCAGTGGAAAGGATTAAAACAACATAGAACAGTGTGCCGTAGATGAGCTGTAATTATATAATTACGGAATACGTTGTTTCATAATATGTGCTTCTATATGTAACGTGGCCCCTTTATTATTATCAGTCCAGCAGGTGTTGCCTTCCTTACCTGAAGCCCTTGATGGGGCACTGCCTACAGATAGAGCACTTGGTCTGATGCTTCACTTGCTCAGCAATGGTGACCCGATGCAGAACAGCTAGCCACACCATGGACTGGGGCTCCAAGTTGACCCACTCTAGGAACTGTGAAGCTTCAATGACTGGCTTCCCAGTGCTCTAGGGAAACAAGAAACCCAATGACAATGACTGAGGCCCTTGTCCCCAGATTGGCAGCCCGCAGAGGGGCAGGAGAGCCAGCAAGACCTGGGCTGGCCTATGGCCTATTCTACAGAGGTGTCCACCTTCTGCTAGTTGAGCTGGCATCACTCCCCGCCCCCACAGGACTCTGGCCTTAAAAGCCCAGAGAACCTTCTGCTTTGTTATTCCATCTGAGCAAACTCCCGTACATCTGAGTAGTTCAGATCGGAAACCTCACTCTTAGTTCTCCCTCCCTTCCTCCCACCCTCCCTCTCAGCATCCCTCCCCAGTTCCATACTCACAAAACGGAAGCAACTACGGACACTGGGCTCCACATTGCTGCCCCCAAAGGCTGCCACTTCCCCCAGCTGACGGGGCACCTGAATGGCCTCGTGAAGCAGGACGCCGAGGTGGCGCTGGTCACACTGGCTGCCTGAGTTGGCTACTTGGCTGAAGAGGTCTGTGGGCCACACCATAAGTCATGGCCCACCCCGAAGCAGGAATGGCCAGAGAATGGTGTAAGGAGAAGGAGCAGAAAAGGAAGACAGGGAAAGAGCACATCGACTTAGCTAATGACTTTCGAAACTGGAATACTTAAAGGTCCATCCCTGACCTTCTAGAAGCCCATGAGTTCTAAAAAGAGCATTCTCTGAGTTCAGAGAGAAAAAGACACAAAGAGAGAGAGGGAGAGAGAGGGCACACCAGAAACAGAGGGAGAGAGAGAGAGATGTAGACAGAGAGCAGGTTGCATGTGAGACCAATGCCAGACACAGATATGACACTGCTGGGAAAACAGACTCAAGAAGCAAGATGAAGGGGCATGGGGTTTAGGGGTGCCTGAACATGAGTCCCCTCCTGCTCATGTAGCTCACGGAGCCTGACACTGCAGTAAGCTCTCAACTCTCCACTCAAATGGAAAGAAACACTGGCACGGATAATCTACAGACAGGAGATGATCATCTAAGAATTACCTCTAAGTGATTGTGAAATAGACTATGGTACTTATATTTGAATTGGGGCTCTATCTGCCCTGTGCGAACTACCCCCATCCTACCCCAACCTTAGAAAAGCTCCTTCAAAGGTTCTTGTCTGTCTCCTACATCGCCTATGGCTTAGAAAATACTCAGAAATAGAAGGCAGACGGCCTGAGTTTTAGTTCTGGATCCATTACTGACTAGCTTGGAGGACCTTGGGTAAGTGAGGAACCTCTCTCTGCTGCAGTTCCCTTACTTGTAAACTTAGGAGAGATAATCCCTGCCCAGTCCTTCTCAAAGGGATGTTGGGAGAAATCAATAATATCATTGCTATGACCTTGCTTTGCTCTGTCTCCTTCTCTGCAAAGCTTTCCCAGACCCCTGTCATCCCTCTTCTGTGATCTGATATAGCACATACCCTTTGCCATTCAGATTATTCTAATTAGCACTTTCAAAAATGCTTTCTGTGGACTTCCATCACCACCTCTGGACCGTCAACAACTTGAGCAGGGACCGTGTCTACTTGCACCTTGTACTCACCGCACTTAGCACAGAAAAGCACAAAATGCTGTAGAGAAGATGGAGGATGGAGGGAAAAGCAAAGGTACTAGAAACCAGAGAGGTTAAAAACTACAGGCGTACCTACTATTCACCTCCCAATAATAATCCCGATGGGGATTAGTGTGCGCCCCCTGCCCGCCCCGTGCAATCACATGGGAAGTCTCCAGTAGAATGTGTGACATGGCTTGAGCTTCAGACTGGGAGAGGGCTAAGCCCGATAGGCCACAGGAGAAGGGCACTAGGAAGTCGGACCCTTGGATACCCCAGGATGCCAACTCAGAACTTGGTCAACTAATTACATTAGATAAGAAGAAACCAACCCCCTTGGAGTGACACTGGAAATAGTAACAGGCCTTAGACCCATCTTAGCCTTTGGCTGTTGTGCGTTCTTTGCATAGCCTGGACCACCATTATAATGTAGCCCGAGTTGTACTCTGCTGACTAGTCATAAGACCTACCTTCTGCTTATTTTCACCCTTCCTCCTCCCACTACACCTCTCCCTCCACCCAACTCCACTCCAGACTTTGGAGCTGTACTCACACTGCAATTTTTCCTTCACTTCCGTGCCACACAGGCATGCAATGCCGGTCTTAAAGGACAATGCCCGCATCTTCCCACTGCGACCACTAGGTTTAAGAGAAGAGACTGAGAACATGACTATATGGAATGAGTTAACATCTTGGCATTAATTCCCCTCACAGAGTTGATCCCAGCAGGGCTCTGTGCCAACCATGCCCCAAGCTGAGCTAAGTCTGAGTCCACTGTGGGAGCAAGCCCTTCTCACCATGCCCACTTCTGATGTCCCATTGGATTTCATCCTGGAGGCTTCCAGGGGTACAAGCCCTCACCTATCAAAAACATTGAGGAGCCAGTTGAGGCTCATGTCCACACAGAGTGGCACGTTGACCAGGATGCCTCTTTCTTCCTCCAGCCGTTCATATAAGGCCGTCAGGCAGTGAATGACCTCTACCACATCCATCACATGCTCACTGGCCTGCAGATCATGCTCATTGAAGATCTCCAGGGCTGTGGTTAAAGTTACCAGGTCCACTGGGAAGGAAAAGAGACAGGGGGAAAGGATAGCCAAAAGTAGAACTCCAAGACTAGTCAAGGAGTTAACACACCACCATCACCAAATTTGACTCCATCTCCAGACCCACCATTTGTAAGTAGGATACAAGATTGCCCTTCAAGACCCTTATCCCAAAGAGGGGGATGGCAGCGAAAGGCCCCCTAAATTAATCTAAAATGTGTATATACCCCTACGTTCTTTGACATCAGTTTCAAGAAGATGGTAGGAGGTGAGTAAATTCACCTCCTTTGTTGTATGAACTCCTAAGGGGTCAAGTCCCATTTCCAGGCGCCTTCCATTGTCCCCAAACCCCAGACTTGTTTCCAAAATAACCATAATCCTCCTCCTCCTTGTCCCTTCCCTGCCCAACATGGAGAGTCAAGCAACTATTTTGTGGCCAGAAGTATCCCAGTCCAAGGTTTGGAGCCATCAGGGGTGCCTGGAAAGAGCAGGTACCCACAGCCAGCATCTCCCAGCCTTTGGAGAATTCCCACCAAGCCAATCAACACCCTGGGCCTGAGGTGGGATAAAAATGGAGAACAGGAAACAGATGAGGAAGAGTGGGAGTGGGGTGAAGGTCACGGAGAGATGTGAGGGGAAACTTACAACGCAGTGCCTTCTGGACTCTGCGTAGCTTCATGGCAGTGCGGTAAGCTGAAAACTTAATGTTGTTCAGATCAGCTGCAAAGAATGGAAAGAGCCACACTCAGATCGGGGAAATGCACATTAAAACCACCAGAAGATACCGTATCACACCCACCAGCTTGGCAAGAGATTAAAGTCTGACAATAGCAGGTGTCAGAAAAGACGTGGATAAATGAGGAGGGCTGGTGGAAGCATGAACTGATACAATCACCTCAGAAAACAACTTGGCATTACCTCTTAAAATTGAACAGTCATGTATCCTGCAACCTGCTGGCTGTGTATCCCTACAGCAGTGATTTTCAAACATTTATTGACTAAGACGCATGGTAAGAAATTCATTTGGCATCACGGTCCAATATGGACACCCATGTGTGCATGTATAAATAACTGAACGAAACATTTCAGGAAACAGTGCCTTGCTAGATTTGGTAAAGTAAAAACATAACAAATACCGAGCAAATAGGACTCTTGCTAAGGATCTGTTGCACTTTCAAATTTCCTAGTCTATTCACGATGCACTGAAATGATGTTAGACCTGTAGACTGAAAGACATGCACAGAACGTGTCTTCAAGAGCTCTTTAACAGCACTGTCCTTTATGAGTTCCAAATGATAAACAACCCAAAAGTCCATCAACAGTAGACTGGATGAAGAAACTGTGGTATATATAATGGAACATTCTATGGCAGGGAGAATGAATGAACAATATTTACACGCATCAACATGGACAATATTTGTAACCTAATGATGACTCTCTCTTAGTAGCCAACACTAAGGCACATGAAAGTCACACTCATCATAGCCTGGACAGTGTCTTTCAAAGCAGAGCTGGTTCACATCTCTAAGCTTAAGTTCCTAATGTGATAGTAAAATGGTCCAGGAGGAATGTAGAGCCTCTAGTTGAGGGTGGGGGTGCAGAGGGGAAAGGAAGGAAGGCTGCTGGAGAAACGAGAAGGCACTCACTTCTGCCCCCACCTGCTTGTTGAATGGATTTCCCTTCTGTTCTTATAGGAAAAAGACAGCTGTATAGATCTCCACCCTATACAGGAATCCCGAATTCTTACCCAGGGTTTGGTATAATTCCGTCATCTTGGGATGGTCCCAGCAAGTGGTCTGAGCCTGGTGGCTACAAACAGAAGCATCAATAATACCAGGGTCCATGCCACCCCCCCACGCCCCCACACACATGTGTGCATCACTCAGTGATAGGTTAGATGCAAGGAGCTTCAGGATCCCAGGGTGAACCATGAAGATCCCAAAGCACAAGCGTTCACCTTTACCCAGGTAGAATCTTGAGCTCTTGAGATGAGTAGGAGGAAAAACTGGACTGGATGGAGGAATTCCAACAGATAAGGAAGGACAGGGAGAAAAAAAGACAGGCAAGGGAGGGGGGGTGGGCAGGTGAATGACCCACTTCTAATTCAGATGGTCACTCACTTGATGTAGTAGGGAACTTTATTGGGTGAAATTGCTCTTTCCCAGGGAACCTGCACAGAGGCTGATAAAAGAGAAGAGAGAGAAAGAAGTTGGCCACTTATGCTCTTCAGACCCCCGGGGACTCCCCTGCTCTATCCTCCTGAGCAGGCGGTCAAGCCCAAAAGGGGATTCCTGACTCGCCCTGCCAGCTCTTAACAGCCCCTGAAGGTGGGACAAAAACTGATGAACGCACTTCTCTCCCTGATGTTAGGGCAAGGGAAGAAGAAATTGTCACTGATACCCTCATGTTTCAGCCACCCTGACGAACTCTTCCTTGAGCAGCCTGCCATTTCTACCCTTTCGGCTGTTGTGGATATGAAGGGGACCCTCAAACCCCTTCCCCCACAAGGTCAAGCTTCTTGGTCCTGTGGGGCAATGGGGAATGGTATTGCCCATTTCTCTCTGGTGAGGAATTCTGGAAAAGGATGCCCTTCTCTGCTCCATGTCTTTATCTTCCAGATGTTTGAGGAGAGGCTTCGTGACTTGGCCAACCTCACCGCAGTTTCCCTGGGTATAAGAGCCCACGGGAGGTACAGCTACATGCCAGTGATCATAAGAGCAAGAGTTCTACCCGCCATTAATGTTTATTGAGTTCCTACTATGAGCCAGAGACTCTGCTAAGTGCTTTGTGTACATAGCTGATTTTCATATCCGGACATTCTCACCATCTCCACTGCCGCCACCCCGACTTGGGTCACCATAATCCCTCACCTGGATGATTACAATATGCTCCCTAACAGGTCTTCCTGCTCCCGCTCTTGCCCCCCAACACTCTGACTCTGTCAGCTCATGTCATCTTTCTGCCCAAACCCCTCCAAAGGCTCTCCATTCCATTTAGAGTTAAATCCCAAGGTCTGACCATGCCCTACAAGGGTCCTCGGTGCTCTGGTCTCCTGCTACCCTTTGATCTCCCATTTTCTCCTCTCCTTCTTACTTGTACACTAGCCTCCTTCTTGTTCCTCAGGCATGCCCCTGCCTTAAGGTCCTAGAAGCTGCTGTTCCCTCTGCCTGGTGTGCTCTGACCTCAGCTATCCATGGGGCTCATGGCCTCATCTCCTTGAGGGTGCTACTCAATTGCCCTGCTCTCAGTGAGGTCTTTCCTGACCATCCTATTGAAAATTGCAATGCCTCCCTCATCAAGTCCAGCACTGCCTTTTCATGCTTTCCCTGCTTTACCTTCTACCACAGCACTGGTCACCAGTTTACCTTATATATATTGTACTTATTTGTTTACATTCTGGCTTCCCCTACTAGTGGATAAGCTCAGCAAGTCTAAAGACTTTTGTCTGTTTCATTCACTGAGGCGGCTTCAGTGCCTGAAACACTACTGGGCCCACATCAGATCCTCAATCAGTGTTGAAAAAATGAAGCTATTTGACTTCCGTAACCCTGTGAGTTAGGTAATATTTTCTCCTCTTTTTACATATGGGGAAGATTGATGGCCAGAAAGGTTAAGCTATTTTTTTCAAGCTTGCCCAACTATGAAGTCAAGGAGCAGTGACTCAGACCCTGGCCTCTCCGACGTGAGAGCCTGTCCTTTCAACCGCTGCTTTATCCTTACTGCTTCTTGGATGCCATGATATCCTGGGCTCCCACCAGGTCCCCAAGGGACGAGAGTAGACTCTCTTGGAAGGTATCTGAGGTTCTGCTAAGTGAAGTCTAGTTTGTCTCACGTACAGGACAGGAAGTGCTGTGACCCAGGCCCGAAGTCCCGGTGGGCATCCTGGAGCTGCTTAAGCCTCTCACCAACTGACACCTGTGGAAAGAGGCAGAAAGTCAGTGAATTCATTCCAGATATTTAGTGTGGGATTTCCAGGCGCCTCTGGAAATCTTTGTGAAGTCCTTTACAGGCTAGCTCCTCCCACAGCTGCCCAACTCCTAGCCCTTCCACATCACTCCCAAGGGTCAGAGAAAAGCATCCTTAATTCCAGGCCATAGTCACTCTTCATCTGCCCCTGTCCACCCTGAATGCCTACATTTAGACAGGTCCCTCTCAGATCTTCATTTTTCAATTACTCCCTGCAGCCTAGAGGTTGAGAAGACTGTTCCCTGGCCTGAAATTCTCTACTATTCTTTTCCCATGTAGGTCCCACTTTAATGCCCCTTCACTTTCTTTTGGCCTGAAGATTTCCCCCAAGCCTAGTTATATCAAAGCTCTTCCCTATGGCTCACTCCAGGCTTCTCTTCTACCTGTAGCTGTTTCCACCGGACATTGATCTGCTCCAGGGCTCGGGAATTCTCCATTGACAAGTGTACATCAGAAATGGCGAGTTGGTGGGCCAGATCATTCACCAATTTCACTCCATCTTTCATGGGGGAGAATTCTTCTTTGAACAGCTACAGAACCAGAACCCAAGTCCCACAGCAAACAGAGAGTGGGAAAGAGGAACCATTAGTCATTCACCTCAACTCCTCCCTCTTCACGACCAACAGCACGACACAGGTGCTTGCTATTAAGCCATTTGGATTCAGGTGTGGGGGGCCACTGTCCTTATTCTCTTCCTTTCCCACTCTCAGAAAACGCCAGGGGAAGAGAAGACAGTGGGAGGACAGAGGAGACTCCAGCTAAACCAGCCGCCAAAGCCAGCACATAAACTGGGAAGGCTCAGTTACAGTCTGGGCCAACAGTGAAGCTTCAGTAGCAGGGACTGGGAGGAGTGTCAGGTCTCAGGGTGGGCCATAGCCAGGTTAGGTGCCTGCATACCTTAATAGCCTGGATGTGCTCAGGGAGTGAATCAATGAAGAGATCCCCAATGGGCTCCCATGTGGCTCGGACTCCCTCAGCCTGGGTCAGAGTATTGCTTAATTCCTCCATTGCCCCTTGGATCTCCAACAGCTGCTCCAGAATGCGCTCAATATGGCGGTGCTGGTCCACACAGCGGGCTGTCAGCTTCTCCCATAGTTCACTGGCCACTGTTGCCTGCTTCCACACAAAGCGGCTAAGGTTCTGGATCCGCTGTCTGGGAGAGGTATCTGTAAGAGCAAGCAGGAAGCCAGGTCAGGCCAACCTGGCAGGGGCAGCCCGGGAAAGACAGGGACAAAGATAGACCTTTGTAAAATGTGTGTGTGTGTGTGTGTGTGTGTGTTTAGCACTATGCGATTTATCACACGTGTAGGTTCACGGATCCCCCACCACAGTCAAGAGACCATATTGTTACTTTTACCCTACTATGAGGATTTCCTCATATTCTCAAAAAATGGGCAAGGTAAAATATTTTAAGAGGTGCCGTGAGGTAAATCATCCAGAGTCCTATTCACATGACTCTAGAGCACTATTTTGCTTTAGTGTCTGCTGCCCACTTCCATCCAAAGGAAGGAGGCATTTTATGCCTAGGAGAGGTTAGCATAACTTGCCTAGCTTTTCCACCGAGGCACCTAAATTAGGGGTTTCTTCTTCCTCCCCCAGATTTCCCCTCAGGAGTAGATTCAGACCCCCAAAACTCCAGGCTGGTCCTATCTGAGGCCCACTGGGCAGTAAATTGACTACTGGCCTCCTACTGAGGGGCTGAAAGTAAACTGAGCGAGTCAACAGCTTTACCAAAGGGCTCAATTAACAAAGGGTCCTTCCAGGCTATTCATAGCCAGTCTTGAAAGGCAAAGACTTCCTGGAGGAGAGGACCTGCTGAGCTACCTCTCAGACCGAATCACCATGAATCCCCCGATGCTACCTTATTTGAACCTAAACCTAGAGTGGCCTACTTCTACTGAGGAAAGGGACCAGAGGTCACCAGGGTCAGTAGCAAAGACCCATGATAAATTTTTCTCCTAGCTTTTTAGATTTTAGAAAGATTTTTTTTTTTTATTGATCAGAGCATCACTGCATGTCTCTCTATGTTGGAATGAAGCAGTACGTTTTTAAAGGACATACTACTACTACTTTTATTCACTGAGTCAGCTCAATGTGTTCGAGCCTTTTGTGTTTTTTCCTTTTTATGTCTCATTAGAAGGCCACACATGATGCCCCACAGAGCCACATACAGCTTTGGGCCACACGTTGATCTCCCCTACTCCAGGTTCTGTTCTCTTTGCTTTTGCCTGCAATGTGAATCTTGCTTCTTCCCAACTTTGGACCCCTAAGAGAAAATTAGCCTCCTAGATAACAGCTGAGAAAATGAGTTTGGGGAAGGCAGGAAGGTGTTTAGCAGTTCATAGCTAAGAAGAAAGCAAAAGAGAGGAAGACCACCCACCTTTGCTCTCAGAACGAGGTTCCTCTAATTCCTCAAATGGGTGCTGGGACAGGAAGGCCTGAGCTGACTCCAGCACAGAGTAGATATAGGGGCCCCGAGACTTGACATCTTCCATAAAGGCCTATGAAGTTTAGCAACATGGTCAGCAGGGAAGTAAAATCTTTCAATTGCTTTAAATTCCACTCTGCAATTGACAACCTTTCTTCTCTTCGGTGCAACTTGATCCTTAAGCATTATCATGTATCTTCGGGCTACCCAGACAGAAAGGGGTGCAGTCCTCCCTATAGCCAGAAGAATGACTCTGACACTGGGATGTCTATTTAGTATGAAATGGGTCTGTTTATGCCACAAGGTAGAGAGAAATGTGGACATTTGGGGTGGGAATCTTGGTTCTCTGGAAGACCCAGAAAGTCCCCTGTAAGGGGCTTAGAGAAATCAAAACCAGATAAGCAGGATTTATATTATAATTTTTTAAAGATTTTATTTATTTGTTTGACAGAGAGAGAGAGCACAAGCAGAGAGGCAGAGGGAGAGGGAGAAGCAGACTCCCCGTTGAGCAGGGAGCCCGACATGGGGCTCAATCCCAGGACCCCAGGATCATGACCTGAGCTGAAGGCAGATACTTAACCGACTGAGCCACCCAGGCGCCCCTATATTATAATTTTAATTAATTTTTTTTGAAATACAGAGAAGAGTACACAAATCAAAAGCGTACAGCTTGGGGAATTTCCATAAACTGCTTCCATATCTGTAATCAGTACTGAGATCAAGAAACAGAACTCTACCAGCATCCCAGAAGGCACACTCAATGACCCCTTCTGGCCACTATCTCATCCTTCCCCTTTAGGTAACCACTGTCCTGACTTGTAATACCACTGATTAGTTTGGTCCTTTTTGAAATTCATATAAATGGTATTATACATTACAGTACTCTTTTTGTATCTGTTTTTTTTCACTAAACATACTTTGTTTTTTTAAAGATTTTATTTATTTATTTGACAGAGAGAGACACAGCGAGAGAGGGAACACAAGCAAGGGGAGTGGGAAAGGGAGAAGCAGGCTTCCCGCGGAGCAGGGAGCCCGATGCGGGGCTCGATCCCAGGACCCCGGGATCATGACCTGAGCCGAAGGCAGACGCTTAATGACTGAGCCACCCAGGCGCCCCTAAACATACTGTTTTTAAGAGTCATCTATGCTGTGGCATGGAGTTATAGTTTATTTTCTTGCTGTACTGTATTCCGTTCTGTATCCACCTTTTAAATTGAGATATAATCGAATATACGATTGTATAAATTTAAGGTATACAACATATTGATTTGATACATTTCTATTGCAATATGGTTGCCATTGTCCCCTTAGCTACACCTCTGTTGTATCACGTAAGTATTTCTTCTAGTGCATTCTGTATTCATTCTTAAGAAATATCTGTTGCTAGTTTCTGATTATAAGAGGTAATATATGTCACAGAAATCTTAGAAATTTCAGAAAAGTATGAAGAAGAAAATTAAAAAGAACTCTAATTTCATCACCTAGCATTAATCATTGTGAACTTTTTGATATAGTTCCTTCTTATGTTTTTGTATATGTGTATACGTGCACACACATCTATGTAGATTTTTGTACCATTGAGATCCACCTGGATATAGCTCTGTATCCTATGTTTATGTTTTTTTCACTTAACATTATAGTATGCTCATTTTCCCACATTCCCACTGAAAATCAGGGCAGGATTTTAAAGGGAGGCCAATTTCTGACAAAAGGGCTAAGGAGAAAAGGTTTGACTTACTCTGGTGGATTTTTATCCAAAAACCAGTAAAACTGGATCCAGCCTTCTGTTACTTCAGGTGTCTAAGCAGAGGCTAGGTGCCCATCTGTCAGAATCCGGCAAAAAAGATCCCTTCCCAGCTGAGAGGCTACACACGGCAGCCTCCGTAACTCAAACCTACCGCATGTGTCTCCTTCTCCTGTTGCACCAGGGCCACGTCCCCTTGCAAGGGCAGCTGAGCTGACAATTCTTCATCTTTTTGGCTGAGCCAGTCAATAATCTCTTGGAGAGGGAGCTGAAGCTTTCCACTGTGGTCTGAGAAGGCCTCTAGGCGAGCGCTGCACACAAGGCGTAAGACCAGTGATTTTCAATCTTCTTTTTTTTTTAAGTGGCAAAACATCTTTTCCCCCAAATACTTACGTGTTACTTTAATGCATAAAACAGATTAAAGAGGAGCTGCTCTGGTTGAAGTGGGAGGAGGCCCAGAGCCCTCCCTCCTCCTCACCCACAGAGGTTCCCAAGGCACCTTCACATGGAGTGCAGTACTAAAAACCAATGGGTAGGTCCATGAGCGGGAAGCATCAGTTAATTCAGTTGCATGCCCAGCATCAGGCTGGGAAGGGGAGGAAACTGAGCAAGGGCATTAGGGGAGACAGCTGTCTGGTTGCCGTCTTGCCTTGGAGGAACTCAAATCATGCCAAATTACTCACCAACAGAGGCTTCTCAGAGCCTGCCCTCTGAGCAGAAAAGGATACAGTAAGTAGAAAGGCTAAGTCAGGTGACTGAATGCGGGCACTCACATGTGTGAGGACGCACACAAATACACGCAGCCCAAGGGTCCCAAAAGATGACAGCACCATGGGCTAGAGATTTGACATATGGAAGGAGAAAAATGCGCACACTATAATCATCTCAGTATGCCTCCCTCCACAAATGAAACGTGAGCTGAGGACCAAGCGGTAGGAAGCTGGAGGCCAGCCTAGGTACAGCCATCAAGCCCATTCCCCGTAGCTGACAATAATAACTATTCATTGCCTCCCTACTACCTGGGCTAAGCCCTTACCTAAATGATTGCTTCCACTAATTCTCAGAGCAGCAACCTTATGAAGTAGGGAGGTTAAGTAATTGGCCCAAGGTCACACAGTTAAATAACCGGTAGAGCTATGATTTGAACTCCGGTTTATTTACTCCAGAGCCTGCATTCTTTCAACTTCTCTATGCCACCTCATTCCAGCCAAAGCCTACCAACAGGCAGGAGTTTGGGCTTTGATAATAGGGAGTGGAGAGGAAAAGTGTGAGGGGTAGGTTATGTAGAAGGGTAGGGAGAAGAGGGACAACTGATATAGGAATCGCTTTCATGCTCTTACTGATTTGCCCTCAGTTTGGGGAGGAATAGGTGGGCTGATAACCAATGGATGGGAGTAGAAGGCATAAAAGGACAGGAAAGAGAGCAGATAAGATCTACTGAGATGGAGGGCAATTACGAGAGGAAGAGGAGGAGGGAGTAGTCATAACCTTCATTTATACATCAGTGCTTTTAAGTTCAGAAAGCATTTTCCTATCTTATAAGAATCCTCACAACAGCACTGTGAGGTAGTTAGGACAGTTCCTTCACTTGTTTTTTTTCTTAAAAAAAAAAAAAGAAAACAAAAGTGAAATTCAGATAGCTCAAACCATGTATCCAAGGTGACACAACTACTTAAAATCCAAGGCTCAAATCTAAGTCTCCTGACTTCCGACCCAGGGTCCTTTCCAAAGTCCAGAGAAGGAAAGGGAGAAGTGGATGATGAGGCTGACGAGAGGGTGACACACAGGCTGAGAGGAGAATGACAAGTTGCAGCAGCAAAAGGAGCCCAACACTGTCCCAGCCAATTGCCTAAGGCTCCTGTTTCTAGGGGCCAGGCCTTACCGGAGATTGTGAGACTTCTTTTTGATTTCATTCCAACACAGATTCATGGCTGGTGGTTCTAAGGGTCCAGCGGCACCAACAGACCCGTTGAAGAGCTTTGGGCTTAGGCAGGAACCCCCAGCACCATCCTGAGGAGGCGCAGGGGCGGTAGCAGCAGCTCTAACCTGGACAGAAACACAGACATCCTGCGATCCCCGGAGTGTGTCACACCGTGGTCTGCTCCAAGCCAAGGACGGGACAAATGTGAACAGGGGGAGAGAAAGGCTTGTCCCAGGGTGTGTTGGGGGGGGCAAGGTGAGATAAAGGAAGACTCTGTGGCTCTGTTCATTGCAAAGTCTTCTCTTGGCCCAGGTCAGTGACTTTGAACTGCTCACTATTATCATTATTACTGTAAGTTCTGCCAAGACTACTTACTGCCCGGATGGGATTCTGGAAGTACTTGCTTTAGATAAGAGCTGCTCAGAATAGCCCAAACACTGGCAACCACAGCATTCAAGGTAAGCCGTAGGGTCATGCTTCAGTGTCCCACAGTTTACCCAACCTGCTAGAAAAGAAAGCTGATGGGCTGCCTCAGAGATTCAGGGAGACAGAGAGCAGACCAGCCAGAGAGAGCTACTGGTAATAGATGTCCGACTTCCCAAATGAATCTAGGCCTTCCTTGGTGTTCCCTCTCCCTCTTCCCCACCTACATTTTCCACCAGTTAGGAAGCCTAGAAATAGTCCTGAAGAGCACTGTTCATCTTCCATGGGTGGAGAAAGAGCTAAAGCCACATTTTTGATCCTGATCTCCAAAGGACTCTGAACGGAGTCAGCAGCTAAAAGGACCAGCCATAGAGTCTGCCAAAGGCTCGCCTTGTGCCCTTAAGCTCAGAGCCTATCACTTGCTCGCCCTGCAGGGTATCATAAGGTTTAGGGGAATGAGGGTAGTGCCAAATAGCCCTTAAGAAGCTAGCTACCTCTAGCACAGTGCCAGGACTGCCCAGCCAGGGGCAGAGGGGGATAGAGGGAAGGAAAGTATGGGGGAGGAAATCTCAGCCTGTGCCACTCAATCCCAGCCTGGGGAAACTCACCTGCCCATCCGCCTATCTACCTGCTTGCCTTTTGCAGAGAGAACATGGTTCTGGGGGTGGCTGAGACTCTTCTAGTCTCCCTGTCCCCCAAAACCATACTTCCTTCCCACACAAGACCCTCCAGGCAATCTAGGAAACCAATCATCCCATTAAAACCACAGCTCACAGCCACATACTGAAAGGGAAGTGAGGGAGCAACCCAGCTCAAGGGCAAAGTTCTGAATTCAGTCACCCTGGGTCCCCATGAGCTGACCCTACCTGTGCTGCCTGGGGACTCCATTGCAGGATTCGGCAGCTCCATGATGATCCCTCAGCTCGTGTCCAGAATCAGTGTCTGGTGAGCCGCAGGCAGAGTCCTGACAGGCTCTAAGCAGGCTCTCTCAGGGGAGGCCAGCAGAGCTGAGCCAGGTCAGGAGGCGGGAGTTGTCACCCTGTTTGTTTACTGACCCCCCAGGAATCTGGAGGGGGCGGCTCTGTCAGGGCTCAGCCGGTGAATCAGAGCTTTGTCCCTGGGGAATTCCAGCTCGCTCCCAACTGGGCCCGCCACACCGGGGCCAGGAGGACCCTCCCAGGCTGGCAAGGATGGCGGGAGTGGGACTGGGCATTCCATGGTGCTGACGAGGGGCATGCACAGGGTAGTTTCTCTTGATCTGTTCTCCCTTTCCACGGAAGACACCAAGGACTCACTGCCTCCAGCCCCACCCCCACCCCGAGATAGAAGAAAAGATCAGCCCGCTTGGGTGACAAACCTCTGGTAAGCTATTTCCCCAAAGCCTGGCAGGAGGATGGGCTTGGAAATAAGCCTTGTCTTTAACTAAGTAAGTGTGTGCCCAGAGGCAGTGAGGAGTGGGTGTTGGCGCACCTGGGGACGGAGCCATGGGAAGGCAGGGTCAGGAAGTTGGACAGCAGAAGATTCGTCTAAGCCCACTGTGAAAACAAGGGGGTGCTCTGCCCTGCCTTTGAGAGGAAGAGCTGAGAGGAGGGAGAGTCATTTTCCACCCCCCAGACCTCTCCCTGTACTCTAAGGCTAGGGGGAAATAGATGGGTCTATGGGCATCCCCTTGGACCACTGCCAGGAAGGGAGAGGGCAGAATGGAACCCAGCAGCTCTGAGGATCCAGTGCCCTGCTTGTGCTGCCCTGGGCCACAGGGCTGAAGGGCAGGGCCCCTCCTGGAAGTGACCCCTCTTCTCTTTCTCCAGCAGACTTGCCTGGGGGAAAGGTTAACATTCCCTAGCTAGGCCCCCACCCCTCAGCCCTGAGGGAAAACACTTCGTTTTTACCAAAAAAGGGTTCTGTTCCCATCCTCATTTATCTCCCACAGAGTCTTCTGGGCTTTCCACAGTTCCACATTGTTTCCATGCTGAGGCCCACCTACAGGAATAGTTGGAGCAGCTGCCTGACCCTTTCTGGGGGTCTGGGGTGGAGCCATTCTGGGTGGATGGGGGATGGCAGGGGATGGCAGGCCAAGAGCAGGGAGGGGCTCTAGCTCCGGGTCACAGCTTTGCTTATGCTGGGATAATTGGGCTCAAGCCAGTCTCACAGAGTCCCCTAGACTGGGAATGCCCCAGAGCGCGAAATGGCTTCTTGTGACCCAGCAACAACCAAGTTTTCTTGTTTCTGAGAGAAGCGCCCACAATGAACTGGGCTCCACCCATATTAGGCTGTCATTCCCTTCAGACTTCTTAGTTTCCCAAATCCCCATTTGGCTCTCTTACTATACCCCCATCACCCTGTTCTCCCTTCCTAGTTCCCTCTTATATTCACAAGTCCCCTTAGCAGAGCCAGGCACACAATAGGCAACTGACGAATAACAACATTTTTCGTTCCCTACCACTGGCCTTCTACTTCTGGCTTTTGTGGCCGAGATGTTTGCTTCTCACCCCAATCCCCAGAGGGCTCTCTCCTGATCTCTTGAAACTTTAAGACAAAGTCGGGGCCATTGGGAAGGAAGAGAAGAAACTGAACAGTGGCAGAGGAGAGGGGTTGGTCTCACTATTCTCAATCACAAAATGAAGCCCTCAGGTCCCTCTGCCGAGGTGGTGAAGCTTGGAGAGGGGTGGATGATGTGCAGGGCAAGCGTTTTGGAAGGGCCCAGGCTTCTCCATCCCTTGACCCTATGTCAGTCCCACTCTGGGGAAGGGGTGGGTACACTGGGGGATGCTAAGCTGACACTGGCTTGAGAATATGTTAGAGGCAGCAATTTCTCTCTGGTTAGATGTGGGAAGACAGCTCAGGAAGACCTGGCTGTTATGCCTCTCCGGACCTTTCCCTCATTGTTCTCTGCAAAAATGGACTCCCCAGCACCAACATTCTCCATCCCTGCTGCCGTTCTCCCTCCCTTCCTCCTCCTTGTATATTCTGCTGCTGTCTGCACCCCCAGCAGTGACTCAGCACCACAGCGCATCTGTGAGATACTAGGAGACATAGTACTTTTTCACACCCTCATGGCCTCTGGACCCCAAAACATTGTAGAACAAGCCAAAACATGTTTATGCCTCCCCCTTGTCCAGTTAACTTCCCGTGGACCTCCCTCATTGTCAGGAAAGGGGGCTATCTTCTTGGGATTACTGCCTCTCATACATCCTCTACCCACCCACCAACATACATAGGCAGGAACACATAGCACCATCATTCTACTCCCAGGGAGGAGAGTGGAAAGGAGAGACAGGTACGAAGGTCAAGGGACTCGAAGTGGGGCTGAGCCGGGAGCTGTAAGACTAAAGACTTGAGAGGAAGAGCCAATGGAAGGAGAGAGAATATTCTGTAGGTGCAGAATATAAAGTATGCCATAAAGAAGCTAAGGCAAAGGAAGGTCCTGCCTTGTCCTAGGTCACACCCTGAAGGGTCCCTGTTCTGGGACCTCCCTTGGGAGGTTAACATGGAACTAGTCCCCCTCAGCCATGGGGGCCCTGCCCAGCCCAACACATTTCCTTGCCCTATGCCCCCTATAAAAGGCTTCATGAGTGATAAGGGATGAGCCAGAAAGAGGTCCCATGCCCTCCAAAGGGTTTCATCTATATAGAGAGTGCTCCAGAGCCTTAGGAAGCATGGACACCCACAAGAACACACACAGATCCTGTGTCCACTCTTTCTCCACAGGACTTTGTCTTGCTCTCAGCCTCTTACCTGAGGCTGGGGGCAGGTGCTTCGGAGGCTGCTGCTGTGATGGAACTGGTCAGCTGCCCGCCATTCATGACATCGTGGGAGGGTATAAGGGCATCCCTGCATGACCATAGGTTGCATCAGAACCAAGGCTCATGTGGGGTGAGAATGGGCAGTGCACCGACTGTTGACCATAAGCACCTGGAAAAGTAACAAGGAGAGATTCAGAGTCAAGACCCAGAAAAGGCCTACGAGCCCAACACTTACCCAACGGTGCCTTGACAGGTTATGTAAATAAGTATTCAAAGCTTACTGGTCTACCCAGTAGTTTTTTTCCCAGGCCGCCATGTACCATAAGGGACTTTATTTAATTATTGACCAAAGAAGTATTTATTATTTATCTATTGTGCTTTGTGCTAGAGACACCAAAATGATTTGCTGTCTGAGATCTCACAGCCTAGAGAAGAGGGTGGGGGAGATCAGGGTGAGGGGAGGCAGTCATATAAGCCCATAACTATAATAAAATGCTTATGTGGCAAGTGTTAAAATCGATATTTGACCAGAAGGCTAGGGGAGCACAGACAGAGGAACAGCTAACTCTGAGAATGTGCAAAGATTTCAGAGAGATGGCATTTGAGATGAGTCTCAAAGGACAAGTAGATGTTTGCCTATGCAGAGAAGGGGAAAAAGGGAGAAGGGTGTTCCCAGAAGAGGAACCCACCTATGCAAAAGTGGACGTCACCCAAAAAAGCATAGCGTGTTCAGAGCACAGTAAGTGCCACGTGGCTAGAGTTTAGGAGGCACAGAGTTGAAAAAGACATGGTGCCTGCCCCCGAGGAGTTCACATATAGAAAGAATAGACATGGGAAAAGTCAAGCCATGAAGTGCTACTTGCATTAATAATAGAAGTATTTATGGGATGGAGTGAAGGGATAGATGAGGTGAGTTCTACCTGCTCATATCAGGAAAAGTCTCCCTAGACCATAGCAGGAAAAGAGAAAACACCTTAATGTATAAATTTCATAAATATGAATTTAAATGAATAAAACTTTAAGTAAGATTTATATAAACCTTAAAATTCACATAGCAGCACACGATATTTTGTTTATTGTGGGTGTGTATAAGAAGAAGAAGATAGCAGGAAGGGAAAAATGAAGGGGGGGAAATCGGAGGGGGAGCCAAACCATGAGAGAGGATGGACTCTGAGAAACAAACTGAGGGTTCTAGAGGGGAGGCGGTTGGGGGGATGGGTTAGCCTGGTGATGGGTATTAAAGAGGGCATGTACTGCATGGAGCACTGGGTGTTATATGCAAACAATGAATCACGGAACACTACAAAAACTAATTATGTGGGCACCTGGGTGGCTCGGTTAAGCGACTGCCTTCGGCTCAGATCATGATCCTGGAGTCCCGCATCGGGCTCCCTGCTCAGCAGGGAGTCTGCTTCTCCCTCTGACCCTCCCCCCTCTCATGCTCTCTCTATCTCATTCTTTCTCTCAAATAAATAAATTAAAAAAAATCTTAAAAAAAAAAATAATAATGGTAATAATAATAATTCCAAACAGCACAAAATGAAATGTATGGCATGGGAAGCAGTAGATGAGGCTGGCCGTGGCCAGATCGGGTCATGCCTTGAATGATAAGCAGAGAATTCTGGGCTTTATTTCGTAGACAATAGGGAGGCACTGAAGATTTTAAGCAGAAAGGTGACTCGACCAGATTTGCCTTTCAGAAAGAGCCCTCTGGCTGCCTTGTGGAGTGATTCTCCCTGGGGAAGAACCCCTTGAGAAGCTGTTATAATTGGCAAGCAGTTGCAGTGAGGAGGGAGCAGAGAGCACGGCTTATGAGATACTTACTGAAGAGGTAAAATACCAATGGAGCTCGGTGATCAATTGAATGTGAAGGGTGAAGGAGGTGGAGGAGTGAAAAGTTTCTAATTTGGGAGCTGGGTGCATGATGTTGCCAACAGCAAGAGAGGGAAGACAGGGGAAGGAGCAAATTTGGTGTGGTAGGGGGTGAGGGCAGTGTGCCATAGTAAGCTATGCTTGAGACACATTCAGCTTTGGATGAGCTGAGAAAAGGAAGACATGAGTGAAAAAGTTAGATGTACAAATCAGTCAACAGTTTAGTGGATGTACACAAGTGGGATGAGAATGAGTAACAAAGACAATGCTTGCAAATGTTAAAAGTGGTATCTTTTAGTGTTGGGCATGCAAACCCTGATCCAAAGAGTAGGGAGTGTGAGCATCTTTGACTCCTTTTGTTGATGATTAAAGAGCCACCATTTTTCGTCTCTATTTCAGTGGTTCCCAACAGTTTAGGTGTAAGGGCCCCTTAAGATTAAAAAAAAAAAAAGAATCGCACTTCACCCACTCATACCTACAATAGTAGCTGTACTTTCAGTACTTACAGAGCGAGAAAAAGCACTTAAACATTTAAAGATCTGTGGATTTCTTGCACTGAGTGCCCTTCCATCCTCCTCAGGGGTCCTTGGTTCAAGACTGGGGACAGCTACAGATCATAAAGATGCAAGAGTTTATGGTCTGAAGGACACTTTCTTGTACTCAAAGTCTCAAGAGATTACACAGCTACATAGCTCCTCATGCCCAAAGAGATTCTCCAAAGAATGGCTGACACCAACATAAAATAATTAGTAATTCAGATAAAAACCAAGGTATCAAGGTATCACTCTAGGTGTGTTATAAGCGTGAAGGCTACAAAAGGCTTGCCTTCAGACCTCTTTTTATATTAACATTTTTATTTTTGCTGATTACACAAGTCATGCATGTTCTTTATAGAAAAACTGGAAAACCCAAAAAAATCATAAGGATGAAAATTAAAATTACCTATAATACTACCACCCAGAAATAGCTACTACTAATAGGTGTGAAGCCTTGCAGTAGTTTTTCTATGAAAAAAATATATGTCCATACATCTCCAATTGTCATCCTATGATATATATCATTTTGTATTATGATTTTTTCACTTGCCATTTATATCATGATCATTTTAGAATGTCACTAACTATTCCTCTAAAACCTGATTTCTAATGGCTGTAACTGTGATAGAGCACTACGGTCGAGGCCATGGGCTCTAGCATCACACAGACCTAGAGCCAGACCCACACTCTTCATCCTAATAGCAGTATGGCCTGGGATGAGTTAATCTCTCTGAGCTTCAGTGTTCTCATCTGCAAAATGGAGATGACAATGATACTGCCTTCAAAGAATTATTCTAATTATTAAAATTAATAATGAGTTTCAACAACTTAGCATAGCGTCTGGCAATAGTATACTGCTCAATAAATGTTAGCTGGAATCATTGTTGTATACCACTCAGCTGAATGGATATACCATAGTTTTAATGAGTAGACATACGTCACACTGCAATGAACAGCCTTGTGCATATCTGTGATTCTTTTCTTATGATAATTTCCTAGAAGGGAGAATTCCTGGACCAAAGGGTATGAACCAATTTCAGGCTTGTGATGCATACTTCTAAATTGCCCTAGAAAAAATAGTTAGATCACTTTATACTAACACCAGCAATGTATGAGAGTGCCAGTTTCCCAACACACTTGCCAACAGTGAGTATTCTTATTTTTATTTTTTAAGATTGTATTTATTTACTTGACAGAGAGAGACACAGCGAGAGAGCGAACACAAGCAGGGGGAGTGGGAGAGGGAGAAGCAGGCTTCCCGCGGAACAGGGAGCCCAATGCGGGGCTCGGTCCCAGGACCCCAGGATCATGACCTGAGCTGAAGGCAGACGCCCAATGACTGAGCCACCCAGGTGCCCCGAATACAGTGAGTATTCTTATTTTTAAAATATCTTTGCCAATTTTATAAGAGAAGATGGCATCTTGAGGAGTTCTCTGTATTTTTTAATTACTAAAGATGCTTAACCCTACATTTTTAGTGACCAGTTGTGTTTCTTCTTTCATGAACTATCTCTTTGTCTCTTCCAAGGTTCACCTCTCTACAAATTATAACTTTCTTCCTTCTTATTCCTCTACTGACCTGATGTCAGGTTGATGCTTCACAAAACAAAAATAAAGCAAACAGGAGTCAGAGAATTCAGATCTTCTCATCCCAGTGCAGGCAGAGAAGGCATAAACCCCTTCTGGTCCTACCTTGATTATCCTCTGCTGTTTTCAGGCTTTGCCACTGACTGTGACGTCAAGTCATTTCACCTCTCTAGACCTTGGTTTGCTAGCCTGTAAAACGTTAATGTGTAAGAGTTGTCAAACATCAGAATACTAGTATTCCCTGTGTTTGTAGAGCCTGCCGTATTGTCTTTCTTGGTCCTCCGTGCAACCTGGTAAGGTTTGGCCCAGCCAGAATTATGATCCTGTTTGAGAGACGAAGATGCTGAGACACAAGTGAGCCGAGCCTCCTGACCCCTGGCCAGTGCCCTTTTTTCTACAAAAGCATTCTTCCTTCTGCCTATTTATCTCCATGATGTCCCACATTACCACCTGTACATACTGATTCTCTTCCTCCCCCCCCCCCCCCCCCTGCTGAGCAGGAGCCTGATGCGGGGCTCGATCCCAGGACCCTGGGATTGTGACCTGAGCCAAAGGCAGACGCTTAACTACTGAGCCACCCAGGCACCCCCCGATTCTCTCCCTATCCTTCCTTTTAATTTGCAGAGGCTGGGAGGAATTGGAGATGAATCTCAGTCCCCAGATGGCCAAGTGTAGGAGATAAGACATATTTTTAAGAAGTATAACTTAAGAGAAAAGATGATTCATACCTTATGTGGGACACAGAAACCATGCCATGAGAGGTCACAGAGGAGGAAGTGTTCATCTTAAATTGGAGGGATTTAGGATGTATTTATGGAAGAGATCCTTTTGAGCTAAGGTGAGAGAGAAGATTTGTACACATGGAGTAGTGCGAAGGATGCTTTCGGGGTGGAGCTAGCTCTTTGGTGCCCTCCCCCAGGGATCCTGCTCGATACCAAGCTGTGGCTTTTTGCTACTAGGAATGTTCTTCCTGGTTTTCAAAGCCACACACAGGCCCTTCCAGAAAGATTCAGTGGGGGAGACATTATTTCTCTTAGGCAGAGATAGAAGCTTTAAAAACATTTGGGAAATACCAGGATTCTAACATGAAAGCAAAATTATTGGCTATTGGAGGACAAGGTCTATATCTGATATTTATTTCTATCTCACGTATTTTTTTTAAGATGGTGGCAAGTACACAGCAGGCACTTGGTGAATGTTTCCTGACTTGATTTATGGAATTGAACTCCAACTAGGTCAGTGTACAGGTCCTCAACTTTGTAGGTACAAAACCCAGAAGGCATGAAGAAAAACACTTTGGATACATGTATTTATTTGCATTTGTGTAAAGTGATGTATGCAGAATGTTAGCATTTGAAGCAAGCCTTGAAACGGCAAAAAAAAAAAAAAATTGTAAACAACCTAAATTTCCATTACTAGGGGACTAGTTAAATAAATACTGGTATAGGGGCACCTGGGTGGCTCAGTCGTTGAGCGTCTGCCTTCGGCTCAGGTCATGATCCCAGGGTCCTGGGATCGAGCCCCGCATCGGGCTCCCTGCTCAGCGGAAGCCTGCTTCTCCCTCTCCCACTCCCCCTGCTTGTGTTCCCTCTCTCGCTGTCTCTCTTTCTCTGTGTCAAATAAATAAATAAAATCTTTTCTAAATAAATAAATAAATACTGGTATATCCATACAATGGAATTCTATACAGAGGTTAAAAACGTAATTAAGAACACTTTATGTATCTCTTAGGACATAATTTTAAGTAAAAAGAAAAGAAGAAAAAATAAGGTGGTTAGTTTACATTTGTGTAAAACCAAAAGGAAAGTATGTGCTTATCGATGCAAAACAATTACATGGGATAAAATAAAAGCATACAAAAGAATCTGTTAATATTGATTGGCTTTGGAGAAGGGAGCCAAGTGACTACCAGACAGAGGTGGGAGAATTCCCTCCATTCTTTTGGGATTTTCTCTCTTTAAAACTGAGAAATATAATACACTTAACAAAGAGTGCGTAAAACAGATGTGTAAAATATACTGAAATATCATAAAGCAAATTCCCACATAGTCACTGCTGGGGTTGAAAAATAGAATCATTACCCACACCCACAAAAGCCCTGTGCCACCCACAAGAGATGCAGTTTTTACTGAATATCCTTTTGTACCCTGTCAATATATTAGCTCTTTAACAGGCACTTCCTCCCTTCCTTCCCACTCCTCACTAACATGCCGTGGACGTCTTCAGCAGTTTTCTGTAAAAATTAGTGCAGCGGCTTTTCCACCACCAAATAAATAATAACAGTTAAAACTTATTGTATCCCAGGCTTTTCATCATTAATCAGTCTATATAATCAAGTCACATAATCTTCACGACAACCCCATGAAGGGGTTGCTGTTGTCTTCATGGTGAGGATAGGAACACAGCGGAACAGAGGCAGTAAGTAACCGGTTCAAAGTGATATTGTGAATTATGGGGTGAGGAGCTGGGATTTGTATCCGGGGCAGATGTGTCCCAGAACACAAGTTCTTCACTGTTTACACTATTCCGCCTCTGGAACTTCTAGAACCCAGGCCCTGAGGCACTGTAGTCACTGACCCCTAGCAAGCAGAGATTTTTTTTTTTGGCTATGGGCTACCAGGGGGGAGCCCAAGCACTTGACTCAGTCATGCCGCACCCAGGCAAAGGCACAAGCAATTAAGAGGATGCAGTGAGTCTGGAGGTCTGGGGGGATCACCCAGCTGGCAAACCCTACATTTCAATGACTTTCCTAGGACATCCGAGAAGTAAAATTCTGGTCAACTCTCCTAGTCTCACCTCTGAGCTCCTCCCGTGCCTTTAGAAGTCAGTAGATATATATATATTTTTTAATGAACGAATAAAGTCTACCTAGAAACTAGAGAAGTCTAGGCACCTATCCTACAGAAATACTTGCAGAAATGGATGAGGATATCTGCTGCAGTATTGTTTGCAGTCGCAAAACTCTGCAATCAACTCAAGTGGTCTTTACCAGGGGACCGGATAAGTGGGCTACTGTCAAGAGACGCGGCACAGTGTGACAGTTAGGGATGTGGGCTCTGAGCCAGGACACCCAGGTTTGCATCCTGGTTCCACTACTTATCAGCACAGGTTTGGACAAGCCCCCCGACCTTACTGGGCGTCAGTCCCTGCATCCGTAAACCAGGGATAACGAAAAGACCTACCTCATAGCCTGGTTGCAAGGAGCTCATTCATGGTTTCTGACGTCTAGTAAGTACTCACATCTTACCTATTACTACAGCCACTCATGAGATGAAATATTATGTAGCTGTTAAAAAGAGGTAGATCAGGCGCCTGGGTGGCTCAGTCGGTTAAGCATCTGCCTTCGGCTCAGGTCATGATCCCAGGGTCCTGGGATCGAGCCCCACGTCGGGCTCCCTGCTCAG